ACCATCAATGAAGAATAAGGAAATTTGCATAACTGCATTTCATTTTGACATAATCATATCACATTTATTTTTTTAAGCCTGGATAAAGTGCCATGCTGGTTTCCTAAATATATATCCTGCATGTAAAGTTTGATAGTAGTTGACCCATGGAAAAGATTGAAAGAATGGCACTGTGTATCTGAGAAGAATAGTAACATATGCTCACAAATAATCAGGGGCAAAATCTCAGAATTGGTATTCAGATTCCTCACAGTGTATTACTTGAGTACAGTAGGCAATATGTACAGCTACTAAGCACACAGTGCATTCCTCACCTTCCCTTCCCAGCTCACATAGCCCCATGATGCCTACACTAGTACTGCCCCTGTTTTACCACAATCATATATTGTCATCAGCAGAACCAAGTACAGATGCCAATCATCCAGACACCAGAGTACAACTTCTTAACCACTGCTTTCTGTTGAATTATCTGAAAAGATGTCATCCCTTCCAAAGCCAGCCAAAACAGTGTCATATTCTTGATATATGACATTTATTATTAACAAGATTATGTGAAGAAATACTGAAAGATGAGTTACTATAACAAACAAGAGATTAACTTGACTTAAGTCAATATTTGTAGATAAACAAGAAGTAATGCCCCTTCCCATTGGTATCCTATATGTTTCCTATATCTTGTTTGAGAATTATCATTGCTACTGCTTGCTAATATTTAAAATCAGAGCACAGACTGAAAGAATTATTTGATTTAATCACCATAACAAGTGTATAGGAAAAGGTAATAATATCATCCTCATATTAGACTAAGGCTCAGGCAATTTAAATAATTTATTCAATCCCATAGTGTTATAAGGTGATAATGCAGGGATTTGAACCCAGATAGTCTGCCTACAGAGCTCAGGCCATTTCTTATTTTGCCTCTCACCATAATATGCCATCTTCCACTGATCTACTAATCAGTAGGATTTGAACAGGGAAAAAAGGAACTTTAGACTTTATGAGTATAATTATTTTAAGGATTTTTACAAAAGCACCTATACCACTGGGGAAAGTACAGATTCTTGAATTTCCCTCCAACTTTCTAATTTACTTTAACTTGAAGATAGAAAGAGAATGTTTCATAATGCTCAAAAAATAAAATGAAAACAGTCTGAAATAATTGACTAATTTCAAATTTAACTAATATATATATATTTTACATATATATATATATATTATTTACCTGTTTGTTTTAAAACTTTAAATTGGTGAGTAGATTTGATACAATTTTAGGACACCTTTCCTGAGAAATCTAAACAGGGTCCTATAATAGATTTGTTGGACTGGCATAAGTGGGTATTTTTTTGGTGGTACTGAGATTTGAACTTAGGGCTTGGTGCTTGCAAACCAGGTGCTCTACCACTTGAGTCACACCTAAAGAATCAGTACTTTTTGTTTAATATCTTCATCCTAGTGAACCATTGCCAGGATAGTTGTGCTTGGAAATGGAGAAGCTATTACTATTATTATTTCTGCATTATGCATATAGTGATTGCACACACCAAACTGGCTGGAGTGCAGCACACATCAGGTAAGATTTACATAAAAATAACTGCTGTGTGAAATATGTTCCTTGGAAAGGTAAATTTATTGAGATAGTGATTCCAGCCTATGAAGCTCCACGCATAACCATAGCCACCAAAGGACCATTTCTCTCTCTCCTTCATGCAGTATTTTATAACTATTGCCCTTAGAACAAGAAAACAGTCTGCATTCATGGTAGCAACTGCTATTTCCCATCCATTAAAACTGACTTTATTGCAACCTCCTGTTTTTAGTTACTGAAAACTTATTGAAAATTCTCCTTAGAAGGTAAAATTTCACTGTCTGATATCTTCTAAAAAATACTTGAGCAAAAAAGAGTAGTATTAAAGTTTTACAAATAGGGCAATGTTTAATTTTGGTGTAGTAAAACTATTTTTACTTTTAAAAATGTTGGATTGTATAAATACTGCTTGAACAACTCTTGCATAACAGAACATTCTAGTTTACAGTCTACAAAATTTGTTTTCCTCTCACTGGCATGCTTGAATTTAAACCTAGTCAATTGAACTTATTTAACAAACATATGAATTAATAAATGTTTGATTTTTTGTTTACTTTTAAGTAATAATTTTAAAGTACTATTTGGATCTTACATATTAGGTGATTTAAATTGGTGATAGTGTACCTATATTGGGGATCATTGCCTATATTTTTTAAAACATTTATTAAAATATGTTTTTAATATGTTTAGAAATATGTTTCCTATATATTGTTGGACTCACCATTTCATTTGGTACAAACCTAGAAGTTGTCAGGGAGGGTGCTAGTACATGGTCACAATATGTTCATTTTATGCTGCGTTAAAGGGGTGAGTCATTAATTAGCCTTTGAATTTCTTCACTGTAATACTCTCACTTCACCAATTGTCTGTTAGTGGAATCCTTTCATTTTGCTTTTGGTAACTCTCTTGTTTAAAATGCTTGCATTAAAAACCCCATAAATCTAAAACATTTATTTCATAGTAATTCAGCATTGATAAAATTAGGTATCTACATGGATGTTATAATACTTAATCTTCACAGAAAAATATCAAGGAAGCTAACAAGAGTATTTCCATTTTACATATGAGAAAACTGAAGCTGGCAGGGTTTTCAGGTAACATGTATGTGGTTAATATTACTGCTATACTGCATGTCGAACCACAGTGTTTCTTCTGATCAAACTAAAAAAATTAAAAGAATCACTTTGAATATGAGAAAAGTTGCTTTATGTTTCAGACCATGCTTATTTAAAAAAGTACTTCTTTTAGTCATATTTAAATTTTGTCTAGCAATTATTTTAACCAGTGGAAACATAGCATCTTTAAAATGTGCATTTATGATATTCCTATGCTTTGAAGCATATGGATTATAAAATTATATGCATTTATATGTTTAGGTGTGTATGTGTATATAATATAGAGAGTGATGAGAAATTTTTGCATTATTTACATAAACTTTTGGTATTTTTATGTAACTATGGCTTTTATTTTCAAAATTATGTGAAAACAAAGCTTTAATATATAAATAGTTGATAGACTAATCTCCTCAACTTTTTATAAACCAGCAGGATCAATATTTAGCTTAGAATGAAAATATAGGAATCCATCTACCATGGTCACCAACAGATAACTTAGAACCAGGGATCAGCATGGCTCAGGATATACCACTTTCTTTCTTGTACTCATTGTGCCAAGTTCCCCCAGTTCAGTTTCATGATGCCTGCACTGAAATCCTGTGAGACTAAACCACTTGTTCTCTCTCAACCTCTTCTTCCACTCCATACTCCTGCTTTTCCTATTATTTCAGCATGAATTTTAAAAATATGGTTCCCATATTATGTTTTGTAAGTTTTCCTTCTAAGAAGAAAATTTTCAGAAAAAAGTAGGTGAATTTTTCTTAGCCAATGGAAATCAAAGATTGTGTTAAATCAAGTTTATGGAGACAATTTATCATAAAAATATTTCTGTATTTCTTATAATAATCAACTTTCTCTATTAGCAACCTGTGACATAACATCTAAAGAAATAGTAATATTTTCTTCCCATCCTCTTCTTACACTGATCTCTGTCTGGGCCTCCTTCACAGAACTTGTGTACGGTGAGCACTGCATGTCAGACAGATCAATAGTGATGTTGCTTTCCTGACAGAGATATCTCCTGCTCCCAAAATCTCTATAAGTCAGCAAGTCCTTTACTTATTTGTAACCTTGAATCCTTTGTTCAGTTTCTTCCAGTGTCCTTTTGTGCAGAGGAGTATGACACTCAAAGACCCAGACCAAGATTCCTTCTTCGGGAATGTCAATTGACCACAGAGACAGAAACAAGATGGCTGACCCCATGCTTGAAAACATTTTTGAATTTCACATGTCCTTTTTTAGTATAGTCTGAGACTAGCCATAGCACAGCAAATCTAGAGTTAGTTTTATTTAACTTAATATTTTCCTCTTTCATAGTTGATTAGGAAACAACCAAACCAAACAAAAAACTTTTATGAATGTTTTGTCAAAGGACGGTAATTATATCAGTTAACAAAATAAAACCAAAGTATTCACATTAATTTAAAAAATTCCCTTTTTGTTATAGCCATTGCTGGAGGAGAGCTCTTAGGTCATTACCTCTAAATACCTTGCCTGATATTAGTGTACAATTAGAAATTCATTGACATAACAGAATTTCTCTCACTCTTCTCTCTCTCTTTCTCTCTCTCTCTCTGTATATATAGATAATGTATATATCAGATACTTCTGATATATATTGTTTATTGTTTTTTTTTTCTGTATACAAATGATGTTTAGACATTAGTAGGTATGAAAAGTCACTGTGACTCTTTCTAATATTTAAAATAGCATTAATACTGCTCTAATCAATTTTATGAGAATTTCTGGACTCCTTAAAATTTAGTCATTGTGCTGTTCTTCATTCTTTTTGTTCTCATGAATAATTTTTCTAACATATAATTGAGTCAAACTAGGCCTTCAATTTTTTACATTACATCAAGAATGAGTATTATAGAGCAAATCCCGAAGGACTTTTTGAGAATATGGTCTAATTATATTCCAGTAAAGAATGGTCTTCTTTCAGAGAGACTGGCAAGATGTATTCATAATCTTTCAGTTATGTCCACCATGCTCATACAAAAGAGAGGAATTCCAGAATCAGCCTCTGTATCAGGAGGGTACTGTTGCAGTTAGAGATTGCCTAGTTCACAGCTGGGGTCATTTGAGTCATTGAGAAAGTGGCTCTCAAAATATGGTAACACAATAGAAAGAAAAAAGTTCATGTTTTTATAAGTTGAAGGCACTTGAATATGGTAGTCCTTTACAATTCAGCAATATATTTGATGTAGTGAATATTGGTTGGCCCATTAATTGCAGTTTCTGTTTAAGAGTGCAACTGCATTATGAAATGTTGATTATATATTCTCTTTTCTTTGTAGGTAACCCATTAACCAAGGATAAATCAAGTGATCCTCCAGGCTGATTACGATTAACATATGCTTAGAAACTTGACTCCTGAGGTGATCTTGAAGATTTTATACTGTTCAAAGTCTATTCCACAGGATCCCATGGCTTGTTATCAGTCTCTTCTTGAAACCAAGACTTTAAAGAGGTCAAACATGTACTTCTATGTCATAAAGACTTCATCAGATTTGAACTGTGATCAACTTGTAACACTGCTAAGGGAATTTGAAGTTGCTGTCAACAGAGCTGGTGGAGAGTTGGTGTTTGTAGGATGACTTCAGAGACAGTCACCTTTTGGGTTCCTGGCTCCAACTGTGACTGCTTTTCTTATTTCTGAAAGCTGTCTCCCAAGTGCACTGTTATTCTGTCATGGATGTGTTCCTGGGTCCTTCATGCATTGGCTAGTGGGACTATACATGGCTTTGACAGTATTTCCTTTGCGAGCTTCCTCTCTGGCATGGTGTAGACTGAAACAATTTTATTGGTATACTAATCTTGGAGCTCTAAAAGCCTACATTTTAACATCTTACAGTTGCTTTTGTTAAAGGAATGGAAATATATATCCATTTATAATAAGTATTGTTGGCAAGTAATAGTAATTCAAATACATCAAATCATATAAGAATGTATAGACAAGCTGCCATATTTCCTCCCCAAAACTAACACACTACTGCAGCTCTCTGTTAGTTAAATAAGTAGTAGTTAGAACTGAATTACCATTTTCATTATATAATACTTTGTATCTCTAGAGCACTTTCCCTTTCAGTTCTTTTTTAAAGTGGGCCTTTTCTTTTATTGTTTTTATATTCACTTTTTTTTCTTCAGAAAAATAAGCAGTGAGCAGTCAAGTTAGTAGGTATCCTTCAGTTTCAAAAAGTTATCAGGGATGCATGTGAGTTTCTGATTTCTTAGCTTGAACGGTATTCACTTAGATTTCTTCTAGTATTTTTTAACTATTCTTTCTTTCTGTCTCACTTGAAGAGTCTGTCTCTTGCTTGATCCCAATGACTGAATGCTTATATATTTGTTTGTTTGGTGTGTTGCTAGAATAAATTGCTCATTTTTCTTAGTCTTAAAGTTATAAATATTTGCTTACAGTTGTTCCATTCAAACAATTTCTTAGGCCAGCATTTTTGTCCACATTTTCATAGCCATTTTATCATTTGTGATTTTTTAGTTGTACAGGAACGTCTTATAAATATTTAAAGGCCTTAAACATTTATGTACTTTTTTCTGAGTTATTACAGAATGTATAATTTTGTACTACATTTATTTTGTTTCATCTGTGATGTGGAGAGAGAAGAATGGAAGCTGAATAGCCATTCTGTAATAATATTGTGTAAACCTACAATTTTAAGGAATGTAAAGAGAGGAATTTCTGTGTCTGACTTATTTTAGACTAATGAGAAGATGCTTCAGAAATTGTCCTATTAGAAGTCCTAATATGTTAGAGAAGATGTGAGACTATTAAGTATTTTTGAAAACTCACTGACATGGCCACTTAGATACACATTTGTTTCCAAGATGGAGGCTCACATGTCCTGGAGAGTTTGGATATGTTATTTTATAACAATCTCCAAGACTAATACATTAACCAGACTCTTGACTGGGTAGAACAACTAAATTGTAAAATTTGTTAAAAGTTAAATTTGAAAAGTATGCTTTTGACATTGAACTAAATTTATTGTCCCACTACTATATGGAATGAAATGACTTCCTGCCTCCATTTTAATTATACACAAAACTAATTAGTTGGCTCCAAGTGGATTTTGCAATCTACTATGTGAAATCAAGACTACAAGAAATCATAAAGAAATAAATAGCAATTATGGTGGAGCTTCTGAATCGATTAGAATGTCATTAATTTCTATGGAGCAAAGTAGGAAACTATATTATTTTGAAGCTATGAATTTGTCCTAGGTTTGTTTGAAATTATAGGTCATGCTTATTCTCATTTTAAAAACCATATCCTTTAAAACAACACTGGAAATTCTGTATTATATACAAGTGTAAAACATGCATATCAATGGAAAAAAATAAATGGAATTTCAAATATACTAACTAGATTATTCCCAGTAGATTAATGTTGTGACTATTCAGAAAAGGTGAATAAAATTGGAATATAAAATGGACTCTTCTTTCATAAGTACACTTTGGTGAATCTGTTTGCTTGTGTTTTATTTTAAAGGCACTTCAGTACTCACCAAGAAAACCTCTGAATTCATAGAGAAACTGACTTAAATCCTGCAGTCTTCTTTTAATGACTGTCCCATGACAAGTCCTGCCATTTATATAAAGTTCTAATATTTGATTTGCTTCTTTGCTATAAACAATGAAATAGATGCATTTACACTATGATTCTTGCCCACATCTTCACAACTGCATAACTACCAATGAAAAATTCATTTTATTATGGAAATTGTTAATAAATGGAGCTTATCTTTTGAAATACAGCACAGTAAAACACACATCAATTTCACAAGTATGACCATGACGTAGTCTTTAAAATTTTGGAAGCACTTTTTATTTTGAAATAGTTTAAGATTCATAAGATGCTACCAAAAATAGTAGAATTTTGGTTTACCCCTTCCTCTGTGATAACATCTTACAAAATCATAATACATTGTCAAAGTGAGGCATTGACATTGGTACAACACTATAAACTTAATATAGAATTTATTCAGATTTTATAGGTTTTTACATGGAGTGTGAGTGTGTGTGTGTTCTTATTCTTTTAAGTTAAGTTGGTATCTAGCCTTTGTAGATACTGGAACATGGATAAAATTAAAGCACAAGAGTACAGATTGCACTAATGAGTGATTGATTTGTGATAATTCTTTGCAAATATTATTATTATTTTGGGGATAACATTCTATAGTTTTATTTTACTTTATTTTTATACATTCTTGTTGCCTTAACACAAGGAAACTTCCAATTTTAATGCCAGGCAATATCATATATGATTTCAAATCTGGTATTGGTTTTTATTGGGTAGGAAGAGATCTGTACTTGAGATTGAAATAAAAAGGGAACTAGATGCTGTTGTTTATTTCTCTCAGCAAATCTTATGTTATTACACAATTCTATTATACTAATATTTGTGATAATTCACAATGGCTAAAAGCACAATAATTAATTTTTAAGTTAAGTGAGGCTGGATCTTTTTAACATTTTGATCATTTTCTGAATTCATGGATGACACATTTATCTGAAAGGGCAATATATACAAATAAAAAGTGTAATTTTTATCATTCAAACTTTCTCATTTTGACTCACTTAAATGGAGAGAATTAGGAAGATAGTAGATACTCTGCTTAGAGAAAAGTTAAGGAAGACACATACTGGGCATCTTCGGCTTCCCTTACCCACTAGAGAACTCCCTGTAGAGCATTACTATTTTTATTAAGGTAAGGACCTTTCTTTCTTTCCTTCCTCCCTCCTTCCCTCCTTCCCTCCCTCTCTCCTTCCCTTTCTACCTCCTTCCTTCCTTCCTCCCTCCTTCCTCCCTCCCTCATTTCCTCTGTCTCTCTTTCCTTCCTTCCTTCCTTCTTTCCTTCCTTCCTTCCTTAGTTTCTCTTTTTCTTCTTTTATTATGTATACAGAATGTGTTAGAGAATGAACATTGAAATAGACATATTTATGGAGTTCTTGCAAATTTCTTCTTCATTGCATTCACTCACACTGTATGAGACTGTGAAATGTAGTGAACACATTACAATTATCTGCATTTAAATGACAGTTATTGAATTCTTACTAAGCACAAGCATATTTGACTAGATTGAATTTTGAGATTAACTGAAGTTTCTCCTTAAAAATAACATTTCAATTCAATTCAACAGATATTTTTTCCAGTGCCCTACATTTGCATGTGACTATGCTAACCAGTGGGAAAGTAGGTCCACAGAAGATTTGTGTTTCATATTTGTTTTAATTTGTTCATATTTATCTTTCTTTAGAACACTGCAAGTTCCTAAATGGTATGTATTATGTCTTGAACATTTTTATAGAGGGTCTTATCCGTCATGCAAAGCAATCAGATTTAATTCTACAAGTTATATGAACTAGGCAGCACATGTTCAAAGCTGTGTTTTATAGACTAACAAAAATATGTTTGAAGGACTTCAGGAAGACAGATTGTGAGCAGGAGGAGAAATTAGAAAGGATTAAAATAACCTATGGAAAAACTACAAAGGCCTAAGCTTGGAGTATAATACTGGGGAAATGTGCAACAATGGATCTTTTTTATAAGGATAAATTCATTGTACAGGGGGGATTCATTATGACAGTTCCAAATAGACTTATATTTACATTGGCTAGATCACTCCCAACGTCTCTCCCCCCACAGACACCCTCCCAGCTCCACTTAAAGCAATTGTATGAGGTTTCTTTGTTCTATTTCATATAAGTATATGAATTCCATCAACCATATTCCCTCACATTACTCTCCTTCATTCAACCTCTCCCTTCCCACAAGTACCCCCATGTACACACTGTACCTATTTTACAGTCCTGTCTTTCGTTATTAATATGCAACAATAGATCTTGATCCTGGTTTCAATTTAAATTACTTGAGGAGCCTAAAAATGCCCATGCTCAACCCTACTCTCTGAGATTGTCTGTCTCTCTTCTTTTTCTTTCTTTCTTTTTTTTTTTTTGCAGTACTGTGTTTTGAATTTAGGGCCTTACTCTTATTAGGCAGGCACTGTACAATTTGAGATACTCTAACAGCCCTTTTTTTGATTTAGTTATTTTTCAGGTAGGGTCTCACACTTTTTTCCTTGAGGCCAGCCTAGACTGCAATCCTCCAACCTACACTTCCCATAGAGGTAGGATTATAGATGTGTACCACCGGGCCCAGGTTGTTTGTTGAGAAGGAGTATTGCTAACATTTTATCCAGGCTAGTCCTGAACCACAATCCTCCTGATCTTCACCTCTTGAGTAACTTGGATTATAGGCATAAGCACCACAACTGCTCCTGAGATTCTCTTACTTGGAATAGTATTAGAATCTGGGCATAGGTATTTTTAACAAAGCTCCCAAGTGATTCTTATATGCTTCCAGGCTTAAGAACTACTA